GGAAGCCTGGGTCGCTTTGCACGTGTGCTGCCGTGCTGCAGGCGAGGAGTTGGTAAGGGCAGGTGACCACACTGCACAGCTGACAACCAAAAAGCGTCATTAGCGAGAGATGTTGGTGTCAGTCACCAGGAGAGATGTTTCACTCTGGATTTGCTCTCTGGAGACCTGCTATTTCGCATGCAAAGAGGTTTGCTGAACTCCACAAAGGTGCTTCAAGTACTTGACAGCTGACAGAAGTACCCTGGCAGCCACCGCCTGCCCTGTGCTCCTCAGGGACCAGGGGGGCACGTGCTGGTGCAGAACTGCACGTGGGAAAGGCCACAGCCAGGCAGCAGGGCCAGGGTGGGAAAGGCAACCACCATGGCCACGAGGCCAATCACAGTCCTGAGCACCAGCACCAATCTCACCCCAGAGGGATTTAACATCAAAGCAGAGGCAAGATGCTGCCGCCATGGCTTCACTCTCCCTCTCCCCTGCTTGCACACAGGAACATTTTTCAAGAGCCTCCTCTCCACAAAGACTGTGTTTTACAGCTGAAGCACTAAGTCATTCAGCACAAAACATAAGTCCATATTTCTTTTAAGATCTCTTGAGCTCCTCAAGCAGCAGCCACTTCAGCAGCCCTCGCTGGGCCAGAGTGACATCCGCTGCTGCCTGAGCTGGTGGGAGGAGAACAAGGTCCATTGTATTGGCACAGGACATTCATCCGCCTCATCCCTGCATTGATGAATTGCTCCACTTTACCCGTGTCAGGCTCCAGCACAGCAGAGGATGAACAGCTAAAGCTGCACTAAGCCCACACACTCCATTGAGCTGGGAGATGACTCAGATGCAGGTGGAGGTGACGGTGAACACAAGGGACGAAGCTGAGCGAGCAGGGGCTCTGCTCTCCCCATGGACCACCGCGCTGAGAGGCAGCAGCCTGGACCCTCCTCACCCTCTGTCCCCCTGTTTGGTGGCAGGACAGTCACAGTGGTCCTTAGTACAGGGACAGCCCAGCCTTGGTGCTCTGCCACACAGTGGACAAGGCCATGGATGGCACCAAGATGTCACTTATTAAATACCTTTTATCCCAATTCACACAGTATCCCAACAGCTCTCCAGCATCAGCTCAAGAGAGCCTGCATGAGGAGCAGTGCAGCCCCCAGTGTGTGCGGGATGGCCCTGGCTACCCCGTCCCTCCTCCTGCAGAGCCCCAGGTGGCCCTTGGGATGCCAGTCCTGCCAGGGGGATCCTGGGGATGGAGCAGGGGGAGCAGCATCGCCCAAACCACCTCCTGATTCCAACCAAGGCTTTGGAAAAGGTAATTTTTTCCTTTTATCTGCCTTGAATGCAGGGTGCCCACTCCACCTGCACCCCACCTGACTCTCCCCACAGCAGGGACCGCACGTGGCAGAGGCAGCAGCTTCACCCAGAGCCACTTCAGGTCAGTCTCAGTTCCATGAACAAAAGCTGCTTCTCCAGCTCGTTTCCTGACAGAGCTAATGGCCTGTGCCCCTCTGGGGACCCAGTACTTGCTGAGAGGCAGTAAGGGAAGGAATTAAAAACTTATTTCCTCTGCCAGAGATAAGATCTTTAAACAAGCTTCTCAGCCAAGAACTTTAATTTTTAAAATTTTTTTTACAGGTTTTGCAAGGGAATCTTATTCTCCAGAATTGCATCCGCCTCCAACCTCACTTAGAGCTGCCAAAGCCTGCACTTCCCCTGGGACCAGCCTGCAAGAGGCAGAGATGGATGGGATGACACGGGCATGATTTTACCCTTCTGTCCTGCTGCCGGAGCCGGGGGCTGTCAGGATTCCCAGAGGACGCCCCTGCTCTGGCCCTACACTGTGGCTCCACCAGCCCCCCTTGATCAGCCCCCCAGACCATAGCCATGGGTGCCACAGCCCCTGCCCCAGCACTGGGGCTGGATGAGGCCCCAGGGTGAGCACCCCTGTGAGCAGCAGAGCCTGGCACATCCCTCCAAGCTCCAACTCTGCTCCCTCCACACGGATCCAGCCCCACAGTCACTCCTGTTTAACCCAAGAAGGGCCAGTGCCTGTGGTCTTACAAAAGGTGCTCATGCCCCCTCTGTAAAGCCTTCTGGGAATCAGTGAGGGCACTAAACTGGCCATGCAGGGTCCACCTCCCCTTCTCACAAACCCAAGAAGGTCGTTGTCTCACCATAAGCCTCAATCCCTTTTTGTGACACAGACTTGTCCCAGTACTGGCCCTGTGTCTGAGGAACATGGATAAATGTTCCCCAGGTCACTGTAGTCTTCAATGGCAAGAAATAAAAGCCATGCTTGTGCCCTGGGGGTTTGCAGCCTCCCCTTCCTTGGAGCCTGTTGTGGGATCAAATGCTTTGGGCTGATTCATCCATGTGAGATGGAGAGCTAACAGACCATGGCTCTGGAGGAGCAGATTGTGTGGGTCTGGGCTCAGACCAGGGAAGATTTTTGCCCCAAAACAGCCTCCAAATCCCCAAATTTATTGGCCTGCTGTATCAAATGGCCACTCCAAACTCTGGCAGGTCCAGGCTTTGGGGCTCCCTCCTTGGGTGCCATTAGTGGGTGTAATGAGCTGGAGATAATTGCTGCCTCAGGGACACAATTAACTCCTTCTTGCCCTGGTCCAGCTGGGGCTTTTGCATCTCAGGAGAGCAATTCCTCCCCTCTCCCCCCCCTCCCCCGTTCCTTAGAAAACTTCCATCCCTCTTTCTTCTCAAAGTGAGCCTCTGAATCACAGTCTGACAAACACCACGAGTTCACTGATGTGTGGTGATGATTTAGATTTGGAATTTATCTGGAATGTATAATTTATTTCAGGTATCTGAGGCACCAGTGAAACTGGGAGCAAGCAGTGAGTAAATCAGTCATACCCTTGTGATGATGGGGATTGCAGCCTTTATATTGCTCTGAGAATCCTGCTCCCACAGAGCCAGGTGAGCATGATGAGGGATGGGTACTTTTTGGGGCTGCAGGGACACAGTCAGGGACCCTGGAGGAGGTGGTGATGGTGGAAGACTTTAAAGACAGTGCTGCTCTGAGGACACAACCTCGCTCAGAAAGGTCAGTGTTGAACAGCCCTTTGCCCTGGGACAGGGATCACTTTGAACCTGGTGCTGCTCAAACAGCTGCTCCAAACCTGGCATCCACCTTCATCCACCAGGAAGTAGCAGAAGAGGAACCAGGCACGGAGTTCACCCCCATCCCTGCCCCTGTTTTGCCTTTGCAGCAAATCACTGTTTCAGAAATGCAGATGTGAAATATGAAGACAGAAATTGCCAGCGACTTTTAATTTGGGTTCTGCCAATTTTTCTGTTCCAGCTATTGATTTTCCATAAAGATTAATCCCTGCTCCCAACCCGCTCTGACAGGCGCTATCTGGGTGTTTTGCTTACCCCAAGTGAGGAAATATATGTTTTATTAAGTGTCAGAGCTCGCTAATGAGAAGAGGGAAGAAAATCAATCGTCTGCTTATATCTTGATCTCAGACAGGACTAACAAGTTATTTTGATGCTGTGGACAGGACAGCCAGAGTGACAAACAGAGTGACAGCAGCTGTCAGCTCTGCCACAGAGGCAGCTCAGCTGATGAGAGGGAAGGCAAAAGGGTACGTGGTGTTCAATGCTTCAGACACATTTGTATGTGTGTTAATTCAAAGAGATTCATTGAATTGATCCCTGATGCAAAATGAAGGAAAACACTAAAATTTCAGCTGCAGACTCTAAGTGGGTTTATGAGGAGGCAAGGTTAGCTGGACCTCCACAGGTCTCTTCTCATACCCTCAGACCACCAAGGCTGAAGGAAAAGGACTCCTCCAGTTCCCAGGACACGCAATCTGAACAACAGGATCGAGATCCATGACATGAGCATGAACATTAATTTCCTGCAGAAATTTGGCATTATCACTGAATACTGATCTCCACTGCCCCCCTCCCCCAAGCAAGGCCATCAACCTGCTTTCAAACATATTTGGTATCTCTCTTGGCTGTTAGCAAATCACACCTGACAATTGTATAGTTAATCTCTTGGCAGCTGTGAAATGAAATGGTAAGCTCTGGTTGCCTTGAGAGGATGCACTGATTTCTTAAAATGACAGATCACCTCCTCCCTTGGTATTCAAGCAGGAGCTTAGGGCTGGCGTTATGGATCCTACCTATCATTCAATTAAAAAAGCTCAGGAGAGATGCACCAGCTAAGCACACCAGACAGCATTAAGGCTAAGCTCTGACCCAAAGATTTAATAGCAGGGAGTACAAGGGCACCTTCAGCCCAGGACGCCTGTCCAGTTTGCTGATGAACTCACCAGTTGTGGCATGGAGCTTGCCATCGTGAATCAGACAAGCCACTCTCTTCTCCACAGTAACACAGCTGACTGGGCGGCTGGGTCCCACAGGAAAACAGAGAAGGAAAATCACTTCATCCCCAGAAGGAAGTTTGCTGCACTTAATGGAGCAGTTTATATCCAATTTCATCATAACCCTTTAATAAGGATTATGTATTTAAGTTAACAAAACTTCTGACAGTGTGAAACAGTCTCAGTCTCGCTGTGGAGAGCAAAGTGTTGGTGTCTGGCCTCAGATGGACTCTGCAAGATTTGCCCTCAAAAAGCAAAAAAAGCCCTTACTCACAACACACCATAAAGCCCAGAAGGTCCTGTTCATACCCCAGAACCATTCCTGCTTTCTGAGACTTGGATTAGATATTAGGGAGAAATTCTTTCCTTTGAGGGTGGTGAGACCCTGGCACAGGTTGCCCAGAGAAGCTGTGGCTGCCCCATCCCTGGAAGTGTTCAAGGCCAGGTTGGACGGGGCTTGGAGCAACCTGGTCTAGTGGAAAGTGTCCCTGCTCATGGCAGAGGGTTGGAACGAGATGAGCTTTAAGGTCCCTTCCAACCCAAACCATTCTATGATTCTACAATTCCATGGTTCCATCGCCCTATGTTTCCAGCTTCCCTGGTTCCACGATGCCATTGTGATGCAGCAGTGGGCACAACTTGTGTCATCGTTTTTGGAGCCACAGCAGACACCTCCTGCTGAACAGGCAGAGCAGACATGCTCTCCTCACGAAGCCCGGTGTCCCCGGTGTCCCCGGTGCCCCCGGTGCCCCCGGTGTCCCCGAGCCAGCAGCCCGCGAAGGAGAAGGTACGAGGGACCAGAACGGGCGGCTGCGAAGGAGGTTACTGGGATTTACTGCCATCGCCGCCTGCGGCGGGGGCGTGGAACGGGGAGGAGCTTTAAGGTTCTTCCAACCCTAAACCATTCTGGGATCCTGTGAATTGCGGAGGGGGAACGTGTGGAGGACTTTTGAGGCTGTCTGGCCGCTCCAGCCGCACTCCCCGGGCTCCGGGGGGTCCCATATGGCAACCGGCGGCGCCTGCCGCGGGCTGCGGGGGGCAGGCCGGGCGCGGGTCATCCGGCGGCCGCACCCGTGGACCGGCGGCACCTGCACATCACCTCCGGGATGACAGGTGGGTCGGGCTCAGGGGGAAACCCCCCTGCGTGCCACTTCGACCCCTCTTGGGTGAACACAGAGCCCCTTCCTTGGGTGACAGCACCACCACTCCCCCCCCCTCCCGCCCCCAGGCTGCAAGCATAGCAATACTGCAGGGAATACAGCCAGCCATTCCTGGCAGGAAAAAAGAAAAATATGTATGTAAAAACAGCAAGGGAAAACAAGCACAATGACAGCTCGATCTGTGGGCAAACAAACTTCTCCGGAGAGCCAAATCCCTCCAAGAGTGGGGAATGTCACCTGGCACATGTGCTGGCACTGCTGCTCCCTACGGGATGCCAGGAGCTGGCACTGCCTTGGTTTAGGTGGAGGTTTTTTTGGGGAAAGAAAAGAAGCGAAAAGGAAATACAGCTTGTTTTGTGGTTTTTTTTAGATGACAGCTCTCTTGGAGAGAAATAGTTGCAAATGAGTGACTTAGTATATAAACCATGGTGCAGCTCGGGGCCAGACAGCTACAAGGTTTACAAACGCTTGGAATTTCTATGAGGAAATGTTATTAGCTCTGTTATGAATTTAGCGAAAATGAGGCTAAAGAAAATGTGTTTGTCAAGCAGGTGTCACCATCTAGCTTTTACAGAGCATGGAAGAATTAAGATCTCACATGTTAGATCTTACTTTCAAAATTCTGTATCAATTTCATTTTCAAATTAAGTGTGTTCAGCCTGTGAAAACCACTTCAGTGTCCAGCTGAGCTCTCATTACAGTATCACTGGCAACAGGGACACAGGCATTTATTTAGCTAATTGTTGTTTGTGGTACATAAACTGTGTGAGCCACAGGTACTTCAGCTAAAGCACAACAGAGAAACACCTTCCACCTTGGCTCAGAGGGCACCACCAGCCAGGGCACATCTTTGCCAATAAATGAAGTATAAAATCATCCCAGACTGTTTTGGGTTGGAAGGGACCTCAAAGATCATCTCATTCCAACCCCCCTGCCATGGGCAGGGACAACTTCCACTAGCCCAGGTTGCTCCAAGTCCCGTCCAACCTGGCCTTGGACACTTCCAGGGATGGGGCAGTCACAGCTTCTCTGGGCAACCTGTGCCAGGGCCTCCCCACCATCACAGGGAAGAATTTCTCCCTAATATCTAATCTAACCCTGCCTCCTGTCAGTGTGAAGCCATTCCCCTTGTCCTGTCACTCCAGGCCCTGGTAAACAGCTAAGATTAAGCCAGCAGATATAGTGCTACAAGAATCCCTGTGTAAACATCCTGACATCAAACTGTTTGCAGGTGCTTTACATGTGTTTCATTCTCTTACTGTACATTGTTCATAGACTGCGGGCATTCTACAGGAAAGCATCATGATCTGGGATAATGCAAAATAAAACCAAAGAAAGGGAAAGCAGTACATCACTGAAAACATAGTCAGGTTATGACTGCCAATCCGCTGTTGAAGGTGGAAGTGCGAGGAAAACGCTGTAATTCCCCTTGGAAGCTGTCATGAGGTGACAGTGTTGCTCTGCCTGCTGCGCACCACCTCGTGTGGGGGCAGAGGGTTAATTTAAATCACCAAGGTGATTATGTAGCTGTAGGAACTGGCTGAGAAGATGGGTCTCAAACCTCAACAGCCTGGCAGATTACAAAGAGAGAAAAATAGACATCTCCAGAGAGGCAGAAGAATGGAAAGAAATTGCTTACAGGAGTACAAAGGCAGCTAATTAGAATGAAACAGAAGATAATAAGATAGGGAGAAATTTTGGCAGAGTGTCTCAGAGAATAGTTCCTGTCAGTGAATATATTAAGGAGAGGTAGAACCTCTCAAAGGGAGGGATAGAAGGATGCCATGGTTGGAATACATATAAGTAGAAAATATAAAATATGAGAAACCACACAACTGTAAAGGAAAATTCCTCTGGAACTACATCTAGTCTAGCAGGTCTTTTCCATCTACATAAGCTAAGCTTTAATTAAGAGAGAAGAGTCACAGCCATGATTATACTCCCTCAGAGCTGCTTTTCTTTCGGTTCTTAATGTTATTATTGCTGCTTTCCTACACAGCACCCGAGCTTTGGAAGCATGGCTAAGGTTTTCAATGAGACTGAAACCCGTTCGGAGAGTACGGCGACCAGAGAAGGGCAAGACAATGCCACCGTGCAGCAGTACATGAGAAATAAAAACCTTGTTCTGGATTTCCTTCGCAATGAGCTGAACCCTCGCCTCCTCCGGTACCACTGGAACAGACTTAATCTTCTGAAGAAGTGTTACTTTTACTTGAAGATTGAGCCCAGACACCTGTGCGTGAGAGACCCGAACAACATGATGATTTGCGCTGACATCTTGCAAATCGCAAACCCCTGCCAACTCCAGAAGATTAAGAAGATAGGAAAAAACCAGACTGAAATCCAGCTGGCACTTTTAACTGGGCTGTTGGAACAGCTGGATCGAGGACGAAAGGAGCTGAGCCATTACGTAGAGACCTGTGACATGGCAACTTTCCTCTCCCAATGGGACTTGACTATAAAGAAAGTGCTCAAGCTCTCTGTGCTTTTCAGTAAACTCATTGCCTTGGAAGAGCCAAGAAAGCTCCATGTCAAGCACAGTTTGGTGTCACAGGTAATTCTTGGAGGTGCTGTACACCCTCACATTAGTCTTTCTCTATATACAAAGAAGCCACCGATTTTTGATCGGAGAGAGTCATTTGCATCCCAGAACTGGGCCCAGCTCAAGTGGATTAATGAAAATCAAGAGTCACACCTCGAACGATGGCAACTGGAGATTAAGTTAATGACAGACGACAGTCAGACAGAACCAGGATACAGTCGGATTCAGGAAGTCATCTCCAACCCATGCGTAATCCATCACCTGCAGCCTGGCAGATCATACGAGTTCAGAGTTAAAAGATCTGACACTCACACACTTGTTTACTCACAGTGGCACGACCGCCTTGTATTGCAGACAAAAACTGTCCCTGTTGAAGACACCAACGGCAGCACCAATGGCAGCACCAACAGCAGCACCAACGGCAGCACCAACGGCAACACCAATGGCAGCACCAACGGCAACACCAACAGCAGCACCACCAGCAGCACCAACGGCAGCTTCGGGTTTACAAGGCGGCTCACCAGAACATCTTCCTCATTGTAATGGTTTGGAAAAGATGAATAATCAAAATAAATTGTTTAAACATTTTGCACAAAATTGAACTCGTTCTGTTTTCAACAGCAATTTTACAAGCGCCTTCCCCAAATCCCTCCAGTCAAACAGTAACCCATTCCAAATTTCTCACACAAAAGAACATCCTTAGGAAGCATTTGGGGCTCGACGCTTGTATCCCACTGCCAGAACCAACAGGTGGGAGCAGCCAGAAGCAGAAAATCTTGCAGGACACCTCTGAGGCAGAGCACAGGAGACAGAAGCACCTCCACCATGCAGTGCTTTCCATACACCACAGGATGCTGGTGCCAGCTCCTTGCAATGATGTTTTGGGTTTTTTACCCCAAGTTATTGTCCTTCTTCCAAAATACCTGAACTGAACCCTACAAAATACCTGAATTGAACCCTGAGCTCTTCAAATCACCCACCCAAACTTATCTCCATCACTGGTTCCTCTCACCCTCTACACCCTGTGCTTTATAGGTACCTAAGCATGAATTCATGCTCATCCCTCTATAACTGCATGAAAAGATCACTCTTATTAAAAGAAACCAGCCAAATCCCAACAATGAATAACCCCAAGCTCCCCAGCAAACAGAGAAGGGTAATACATCCACACAACCAATATGCAGAAAATTATCTTCTCTGCCAAGAACTGCAGGTAATGTTCATTTTCTTTTTTACCATTTGGTTCAGTCCAAACAGAGCTGTTCCCACATAGATTCTAAACAAACCATCACATAAACAGACTTTTTAGTAATAAAATTTATTATTTAAATAAATTCAGATTATTTTTACAATTATGGCTTAAATATCAAAAAAAGGAATGTTGAGGTTCATTCTTATAAACAGCCAAAGCAGGTAAAAATATTTGTATCCAAAAGGTCATTTGAGGTTTGCTGCGAGTCACAGACGTACAAAAGATAAAAACCTGCTGCATTTCAAGTTCCTTAATTCACACTTCATGACACTTGACGTTTCATTTCTATTTTTTTAAAAAACCCCATCAATTTATTGCAGTAAATTGATTGTCCTACATAGATCTGTCCAAGTCCTCAGAAACAGTCCAGCTGGCCAAGGAGAGGATTCCTGGAACCACATGGCCCACCCCAGGCTGACACCAGGCACACCACTGGCTCCCTGCACCCTTGTTCAATTTGTGCTCAAGCTCCACCTAATGCCAAAGAAATTAAGTTAATCCTGATGGATGAACTGACATTTGTGTCCTGCAACCATGTGCTTTTGGCTGTGACTGTGGAGAACACAGAGCCTGTGACTGGACAGATGCCCTGGGCACCATGCTGCCAGGTGTTCCCACTGAGATTCCCAAAGGTTTGGTATTTTAAGAACATTTGCTTGAATGTAAAATTCTTTCAAAAGTTAATTCAGAGCTCTGTGTGCAAATGAAACCAAACCAATTAGGATTTTTTTTCCTCTATTGATTTCTATGATTCTCTCCATGAGCACAAGGACAAAAACATGATATTCAACTGTCACTACAGTCTATAAAAAGTTTAATTGCACTTCCTGATATCCCTGACTATTCCATGTCCAGCTCTCCAGGAACCTGTTCACAGTGCCAGAAGCACAAGGGTCCAGCCTGGCTGTAACTGCTGCTTGGGTGTATTTGCTAAACACCAGTTATAAAATACATCTTCAGAGGAAAAAAATAATATGTATATTGTCTTGCAACACAGAAATGACCAAGCAAAGCATTTTAGTCTAGGCTTTGCCTCTGTGGAGTAGGAATAAACATTTTTTTCCCCACTGAGGACAAAGGGAGTTGCTTTATGAGGTCACTCTCTTGGCCAAACCCCCTCCAAGAGCACAGACTAAGCCACTACACATGGGGTGAGTCTTCTCCCATATGAAATAATGTGTTACATGTATGAAATAACCAGGAAAAAACCCAGGGGAGAAACTCCACACTTTCAGGTGATCATGAAAATGAGGTCCACTGGTTCTAAAGGGACCAAGGTGGCTTTGTTAGAACGATGCTGGCCCCATGTTAAAGTAGCTATCCCAAGAATTCCAGCCTCTCCTGCAATTCTCTGCATCATCTTGGAGCTAGATGATTGCATTTCAGTAGTCTGCTGAATGATTCCCAGGCAATCTTATTTTGGAATTGCAATAATATTTGCAAAACCAGGCTGGTGCAGAATCTTTTAAGGTCCCATCCTGGATTACTTCAAAGAGGAACAATGATTTTAACATCTTACCGGCATCTTTAGAACCAGCAGGATGTACTTCCTATGGGGTTTTATGCCTCATGGAATCACCAGCCATATGCCTGTTACTATGCTTCAGCAGGACAAGAGTGAGCCTGGGTGGTCTTTGGCATGGAGCTCAAACCCCCCAAAGGCAGATGTGCAGGAAGGTAGTTTAAAACTAGGAAGAGAACAACAAAACTTCTCCATGTGTTCTTTAGCCAAGTCTAACAAAGAGTCATGAGAAGAAACACGGCGTTAAATACAGACTTTTCCTGACACAATGCTTCCTTATTGCACATTCCTCCACACTGGAAAGAGCCACACTGCACTTCAGCTGCAAACAGGATGAAATTCATCCTCCCACAGCGCTGTGAAACCACAGGGACTCACACCAAGGAAAACTTGTGTCCCAGCACAGTATAGACTTGGTACTACACCGTGTTTGCATCTCATCTCCGTCCCACACGGACACTTAGAGACAGCCAAGCACGTGGTTTGGGGAGAGCCGAGGCAGGCACTTCATACATTCAGAGTTGAAATGAGATAAAAGACACCCTCCCTCAAAACTATCATGCTTCAGAAAGCAGCTCCATGATTCTCAGAGAGCACCACTTCACCGTGATACATCGCCACCAGCCACACTGGGCAAAAGCAGCCCCTCTGGTGAATCACAGCTTCCAGCTCACAGCAGTTTGGCTACAGAAAATAGAAAAATACATTATACACACATATGCCGTGGTACATTTATCAAATTTCCTTCACCACTCTTAAAATCTCAGGCCATAAGGCTGTGAAACAAATTCACAGAGTTAAAAGTTAATAAATTAGAAGCAGCTTTAAAAAAAAAATATGTGGAGTAGGAAAGAGGGGCTCAACAGGAGATTTCAAATAAATTCTGAACAGTCTAAAACAGGTTGACAAATCCCAGCGTTTCCTGGTAAGAGCAGTCCCCACCTTTCCTTTTTCACCTTTGTGCTGGTGAGGACAACCTCCTTTGTACAAAGAACACGTAAATCTATTTACAAAATCACCTTGGCCTTGGCACTGAAATATTTACATGCTCAGAGAACAACATTTTGGTTGGACAAAGAGTGGTGCATGCATCTCTCTTTGCTTTCTTCCTTCACTTAAAAAAGAAAAAAAAAAATAAAAAATGAGAAGTCTTAAAAATCACCCTGGCCTTGGTTTTAAAATGAGAGGCTTTTTTTACTCAGCAGCTTTGGTCCTCCAGGGTAAACAGCATCTTGCTGAGCAGCTCTGCTGTGTGTGGTTGCTCCACCCCAATGAATAGACTGAGTATTTGATCCCCAAAGCGCAACTCCGATGGCTGGACTAAATATTTGGTCCCCAAAAATTGCAGCTGCAGTGGCAGGTAGGATGGGGGGGTTCTGCTGAGCATCTTACAGTTACAAAAACAGTAATGTCATCAATAAAGTCACACGCCCCTCATCCATCTCCAATGCTTTTTGGTTTGCTAATAGCTGAAAGTTCCTGTCCAAGGTTGCACTGATTAAAAACACCCCAAAATGCTGAAGGAGGTGCTGAAGCTCTGAGCTGTCACGGTGCAGGGGAAGCTCCCAGCTCCCCTGCTGCATTTGGCTCCGTGGGTCATTAAAGAACGGAAAGATCTGGTCCTTCCCAAGGCACAGGTAACGCAGCTCTGGCAGAGAGGGCCCATCCTCATCGGATCGCTGTGGTCTTCCTGACACGAATGTCCTGGGCTGCAGCACAGCAGTTGCGCTGGCGGTAATGCTGGAGCAGTCTCTTCCACAAGGGGTTGCATTCCAGGAGGTACCGGTTCCCTGCGGGCACAGCGATGGGGCCAGCGGGTTAGTGGCCAGAGGAGGCTCGGCTGCTACCATCACACAGAAACTTTTGTCTAACATCTCTAGCTAATGGGGCTGGGTCCCTGGCAGGAGCATTTCCAGCTCCCTTCTCCATGCTGTCATATCTGTGAGCAGCTTCCCCACACACCACAGCCTATGCCTGTGCAATTAGGAGAAAAATAAGCAGCCAGATTTTGTTAGGAGAGAGCTCTAGCATGCGAGGGACAGGAACAACGTGGTCCAAACCAAAGGGTGAGAAAAACTAACTATACGTGCTGCACTCAAGCCATGCATGAGCCCTGCTTTGCCCAGATTGCCCAGTTTCAAAACCACGGACTAAAGAAAGGGCAGAAGAATAAAGCAAGACCATTGGTTGTACTAGTTTGGATCACCACCCCTTTATCCAAGCATCCTGTTCCCCTGCAGGCCTGTGCACCGTCCAAGGAGACCCACCTATGATGCAGAGTCCTTCCTGAGCTCGTGTGATGCCAACATTGACCTGGTTCGGGTCAGTAACAAACCCCAGGTACTTCTTCTGCCAGCTCTTTGTGGGTTTCCTATCAATCTCAGACCGGGGGCAGGAGCGTACAGTCGAGAGGATCACGTATTTCCACTCACTTCCTAGAAAGTGGAATCAAACCAGATTTTTTTAGAAGGAAGCTTTTGGTCATCCCTCCACCCCACAGGACACTCATTTCTCTACTGCATCCACCTTCTGGGTTTCTCTAGCTTCAGAGACCATCGGACTTCTGGTTGTTGCTCTCCAGAGAGAACATGTTTGGGCAGTTCTCCAATACCCCCATCAGACACAGAATCATAGAATCACAGAGTGGTTTGGGTTGGAAGGGACCTTAAAGACCACTTAGTTCTAACCCCCCTGCCATGGGCAGGGGAACCTTCCACTAGAGATCTTCCACCTTCCTGCCTTAAGCAGCCTCACCCTGCCCAAGCACTCCAGAGGCTTCCAAAAGATTTATTATAGTCACAAATCACCCAGAAATCTGATCTTCCATGGTTGAAAT